TTTTTTTTTTTTCAGATAAAACATTTCAAAAATCCTTCGAGCCACAGTTGACCATCATACAGTATCAAATTAGAATTTCATAATTTCTAAAACCAGCATAAAGAAAAGTTCATCTTGACAATGAGGAGGGAAGCTTCAGAATGAAATTTAAACATAAAATAATCACATTCAAATAAACCACTTACCCACTCAGCACAGTGGGGCACACCAACAATCGAGGAAGTATCACATAGATAGGCAAAGTTATGGATCGGCAGACATCTCCATCAGCTATCTGATGCATTTAAAAAATTATTAAGTTACGAAACATTATTAGAACATTCAATTAGTTGCATGTTAAACATTCATAAGATTTATATATGCCATTTAACACATAAAAGCATTTTGCCTCCTTGTTAAAAGCTTTTCCCATTGCATATGAACGCACACTCTATGGGCACCAAGATAGTAATTCCATATATAACTTCTACAATCATCATCATCATCGTCATGAGTCCAATTCCACCTATTTGGGGTTAACGTCATGAAGGGTTTGTTTGAGGCGGCAATGAGGCGGTGGTGCGGCACCAAACCGCAGTTTTGTCTACTTGGGTAAATTGCATTTTGACAGTTTTTTTCAAAGAAACCGCGGCTGAAATCTGCGTTTTCTCATTGGTCTTCGCTACGTGCGGTGGCAGTTTTTAGTTGCGGTCTAACTTTTTCAAAAAAAAAAAGAAAATTGTAATAGCCACCACAACTTTTTGAACATTAAACTATTTTTTCAGCAGCTTCACAGCTGCTTTTCAATAAATTGCAGTTGTCTCAAACAAATCCGAAATTTCATTTTCTTTTTTTTCCTCATTTTTCATTTTTTTTCTTATATAATGTTCTCAATGCGTCAAACTTATTTTTTAGAAATCATTTTGAACATCTATCCTTTTTATCTTAGGCCTGCCGCTTATACTTCATAACCCCTCGTACTAATTTTATAGACATTTCTAATAAGTGCATTTCCATACTTCATTATAGATTTTCAAACCACACAAGGGGATATTTGTTTTGGAAAAAGAAATACAATGTTAAAAAAAATCAATATAATTGAAACATAGAATATTTAGAATATGTTAAGAGTTATTTGGTTCAGTTTAAAATTTAAAACAAACACATGTAATTATATTTTGTTTAATTTGAAGACAAAATGAAATCAATATAAAAGAGGGAGGCTAGCAGCGGCAACTGATGGTGGTTAGTGGGTGACGGTGATAGTGGTCAGCAAGCGGAAACGGTGACAACAGCTAGCAGGCGATGACGGTGATGGCAGATAATAGGAGGTGACAGGCCAACAGGCAACAGTGGTCGAAGGTGGACGACAATAAGTAATCAGTGGTGGTAGGCGGCGGGTAAAGAATATTGGTAGCTGGTGGCAGCCGGCTAGTTGTGGTGATCAGCGGCTAGCCAACGAAAATGTCAAGTGGGAAACAAAGCTTCAGACATGTTGTGTATTTGGAATTCACCAAAAACCGGATGAGTTCCAAATACACTGAAAAAGAACTAAATTGTGAATTCTAAATACTACAAAATTTTACTTTGTGTTCCATTTTCATCAAATCAAAAGCACAAATTTTCAAAATGGTTGTTTTTTTTTTACATTGCACCCATTTTCTACCAAACCAAGCAAATGCTAAATCTATTTTCAATTATCATATTTTCGAAAGATATCTCTTTAATAAATTCTCTATTATAATCATTCCACAATTTTATCATGTCATCTTAATAAATCTTTCATTTACCACAATCAACTTAGCTTCATTGAATTTTTTGCTACCCAACATGTAAATCCATATAATATTGTCAACTTGATTGTTATTTATCGCATAACACTTCTAATTCACTTTACATTTTAATCACTCAGTCTCAAATTTAAAAATTAGATCATCATCTATATCCATAATCTTTCATATAATAGATACAAGATAATTATCAATTAAACATTTTATTCTCTAAAAGTATTGATTAATAAATATTAATATCATACCAATTTAAAAAGCATATCATGCATCCAATATTTATTCTAATAATACGTGGGGTCGGCTACATTAATACTTTTTCTCCATTGCGTCCTATTAAGTGTAATATTTTCATTTAATTCTAATAAATTAAGATCATTTTTTATACAATAAGCCCAAGTCTTCCTAGATCTACCTCTACCCAAGTCTTCCTAGACAAGTCTTCCTAGATCTACCTCTACCTTTCTTAGCATAAGTCGAATCTAAAACATCGACTCTCTTAATCGGAACATCAGATGGTCAACGTTTAATGTGACCAAACCATCAAAGATGACTCTCTCTAATTTTGTCTGTCACTGGAGCTACACCAACCTTATCACGAAGATATTCATTTCACATTTTGTCTTTTAAAGCCACTCATCCACCTAATCATTCTCTAATCATTCTCATCTTGGCAATCATTCTCATCTTGGCAATACTTAACTTAGTAATATGCTTCTCTTTTAAAGGCCAACATTCAGCGCCATTGAGTATTACAGGTCTCACCACCTTCTTATAAAATTTTTCTTTCAGTCTAAGTGGTGGTACTTTTCTATCACACAAAAGGCCCAAAGCATTCCTCCACTTCAACCAACCAACTTGAATTCTACTATTAACATCCTCATCTATATCACTATCGCTTTGAACAACAGACACGAATATCTAAATCATTCACATCTTTTAATTATTTGATCACCTAAAGTTACACTTCTGTCACTAGAGCTACTATTATAAAAATTACATTCCATGTATTTAGTTTTAGTTCTACTCAAATGATGGCCTTTAGGCTCCAATGTAGACCTCCATAATTAAAAATAATTCTTGTACATTCTAAATATTTTTGCCAGTGTCCAAAATTTTAACTTATTTAAGCGAATATCACATCGATTAAAACTATGCCATCTATAAAGCATACTGTAAGGCATCTTACCTTAAATATCATCTATTAACAACTCCATAACCACCAAAAAAAATGATATAAGCTCAGTGTAGGTACTTATTGTAAACAAATTCTAATTGACAACTTTTTGGCACACCACAAGTACTTATAATACTAGTCAATCTTTATCATACAGATCCTAAAATACTTTAACATAATTTTGACAAGCACATTTCTTCCTTTTACACACCAACAATTATCATGATACTTAATTATATGTATTTCCAAGATAAAAATAAAATTAAAATCCTTTATCTGATATTTAATTTTTTAGTAATTGTAATGCTCGGATATTTCCCATAACTCAAGCTTACAAGTGGGAAGGCAAGGATGTGATGTTTCATCGTTATAAAGAAAAATGGAAACTCTGTTTCGAAACAAACAACTAATAACCCGAGGAGATCAGAGAGGCATGCTATGAGACACGCGTGAATGAGGTGACATCATCGAACAAGGTCGAAGGTGAAGACGTCGAAGAACCATTCACGTGTATGATTTGTGAGGCAAGGAAGACTTGGAGAGAGTGATCACTGACTCTCGAACAGAAATGATGACAAAAAACTTGGGTTGTGATCCATTGTGTGCCCGAGATCGTGGTTTGGTGCAGTGTTTGAATTCAAGGAGGAGATGAAGGCAAGATTGATGATCGCGGACTAAGGCTTTCCTATTGTTGACCTCATTTTTAGTGAGGTCTAGTCTTCCTCTTAGGGTTTAGGATCTAGCCTTAGGGACCTCCCTTGACTATCTTAGAACCTTAGAAGTGGTGCCCACCTCGTTTTTTAGTTCGACCTATTTCCGTCCTCTTTTGGAGTTTCGCGTGTGCGGTATCGACTTCTAACACTTAGAAGGATGAAACCGACATGAAGAAACCCAAAATGAATTCCTATAGGACCTTTCCGAGCCTTAGGGTGGCCTTCTGCACAATTCGCACTCCTACGCGCACCAGCTTCGCAATTCGGAGAGTCGAC